GGTGACCACCCATCTGGACAGAGCTGATTCATGGAAGGAAAGACAGACAAACGAAATTGGGCCAGTTTCTTTTTTTTTTTCTTTTTTTTTTTTTTTTTGCAAAAATGTAACTGCTAGATAAAAAAAATTCAGAATCTGGAGGTCAGAAGAGATTAATCACTTCAATTGTAGTGCCTTGGGATTCCCAGAGCTCTCCTGCTTCCCTTTCAAAAATGTACTTAGTGAATCTTCATTTGATCAGTACTTTTCTAGGTAATCATTCAGTAAATCCCTTTCCTTGACTCTATTAGGCACAGTCAATTCTGTAGCTTGCAACCAAAAGGACCTTACCCAGAAAATATTAGTGTTCCCATTTTAAAGATAAAAAACCTGAGGCTTAAAAGAAATAAGAGAGAAATCGGTTGTACATCACCTGGCTAGTAAGTGTCAGAACCAGCACAGAAACCAGTTCTATCTGACCCTAAAATTCATACCAATAACCAGGAGGCCACCCCAACTGTAAATATTGTACTGTAGGTCATTTTTCTTGCCATAGGAATGGACTTGTGCTGAATCCTACTTTCTTGCCTGCTAAATAAAAGATGGCATACATTCAATAAAAGCCATCCAGGAGAGAGGACAGAATCTTCAGTGGCCTCATTAAATTGAAGCTTGATGGTCCACAAACAAATCAAATCATAGTCTTGGCTATTGATGCTTGGCTCCCACCAATAGAACGAAAAAGTCTGGCCAAACTGACAAGAAGGTGCCTTGGTTGTTCCATGTCAACTGATCATATCTTCTTAAGACAGACAAGCTAAAATGCCTCCTCTGTACAATAGCACTTCACAATAGGAGGGCAAATGGTTTTCCAGCAGACTGGAGTATTTCAACCAAACTGAATGGCATTAAACAGCTAAAATAGGCCTTTGCTTTTTAGGCCGTGGAGACAGACATCTCCCACATCACTATGAATAAAAAATCCAAAATAGCTACAGCTGAACAATTGGGATGCAAAAATATATCTACATCTTCTTAGAATAGTATCAGATCATCCTGAAACAATCTAAATGCAACATCCAGCCAATTATTAAATGTCAGGTTTTACCGTTGCTATCTTCACAGGCAGTAGAAGTACTCTCATGAGGGTACAAGTAAGAGTCAACCATTTTTACTATAAGAGAAAGACACTCCTGCAAATTAACTTTAATCTCATATATTCATATATTTCCTAGGTCCCTTGCCTTATTCCCTTGTGTCTGGTAGACAGCTTTGATCAGGGAGTTGCCCCAAAGACTGATCTGCTTGGTCACTTTGCTTGAGTTCTTGGACTCTTTTGATCTGGTGTGTTACCTGGGCTATCCCCAACTCTACTTCCTCTGAATACCAGTTTTAGCATCCCGCCTATGCTTTCTTTGTTTTATATTAACAAATGCTTCTCTAATCCTACTGTTCCTGTTGTGGGACCAGGGATACCAAGGGACCAACCCCACTACAAAGTCCAAGTATAAGACATAGGTTGGGCTGGATGGGACACACTACCTTAGAAATTGTCTTAATCTTATTACATTTAGTGCAAATGATCATTTCTAAGTTTAGGGCTAATATTTATAGAATAAAATCAGAGAAAATAGTAAACTGAGTGCCCAGGTTGATGGGGTTATGGTGGATGGAGCAGCATTCCTGGATCCCAAGGGGATCATGCTCCTTACATAAAGGATTTTAACAAATATTTTTCCTTCACCATTCTTTAAAAGTCCCTACAGGGTCAGAGGTAGAGAGAGGTCAGAGTTTTGCTAGAAATAGGAGACAAGACAACCCAAGAAACCTCAAGTCCCCTGTCCCAACCATTATTCCCCTACATAGGTATGGGCTCTCCCATTTGTTTGCCCTACTGTTCCCCTATAGATATATACCACATGTTAGCACATTTCCTGTTGTTTTCCTGGAAGGACTATACATTCCTTCATCAAAATGCATTGGTTTAGCATTTCCAGCATCTAACACAGTGCCTGTAACACACTAGGGTTTCAATAAATGCCTGCATCATGTACAAAAAAATGAATAAAAGATATCCAAAGTATCTCCACTGAGAAATCAGTTTCCATAAAGAAAAACAATGTCATTGGGAAACTCTTTTCTCTGCTAGTAAGTGGAGTCCTATCATTTTTACACTCCAGTGATTCATTCTGAACATGGTGTCAGAAACAATACAGAGCCAAAAAACAATTAGCAGGGGAACAAAACAATCAGTTGAACCGTCTGGGATTTGAGTGATGTATAGATCAAATGTCTTAAATTTGCTATGTTCCTTCTCATTTGACCAGAATGGATGAGTTGGCTGCACTGTACTAGGAATAATTGTCCCTCATATACCCCCAATCAGCTGCCTCTTAATGACCAGTCAGAAGTGACAACATAAAAGGTGCAGTGACTTTCAGTGTACTTGGCAAATCTTGGACCAACTCCCATTGATCTGCCCTTGGACTAGGTGAGCTCAGAGACACCGTGCACAGATGGCTAACAGTCATCGCTGCCTATCTTCAGAGTCTCAAGGCCCATGAGTCAGGAAGAGACCCAAGGGGAAGAAGTGAGAGGGTTGATGTGATCTTTGGATCTTATACTACTTCAAAGGTAGTGGAAGATCTATAAAGTATGGCTTACACCAAAACTGTTTCTCTCATCTCAGAGGTCAAAGGCTCTATTTCAAACCAGTACCAGGGTAGTCTACCCTACAAATCATTTGGAAAAAGTCTAGAAGCTTGACAGACTAACCAGCTCCATGTGGCCCACTTGTGTTCCAGATGGCTACTTCTTCACCTTAGCTCCTATTCTGCAGCTTTGAAAATTAAGTGACTCTGAATTTACATTCCATGAGCTCCAAGAAAGTTTTATGTTCCTCCTTCGCCCCAATGTTCTGTGCTCTGTTTTTGATCCAGCTGTAAAAAAGCTCTGCAGTTCTCCTAAAACACCCCTTAACTAATTATACACTTGATCTCACAAAAACCAATCCTTGAAAACATCTTTGCTTGGTCATCCAGCCACTGTTCCTGGCTTGTTTCAGGATTCCTCCTCATCCCCAGACTTCTCATATTGGATAATTCTGGCCACTGGTAGTCTTTTAGGGATAAGACCTTGCAGGTCCTTCCTCAAGAAAGTATTTTCTTCCTTGAATCTCCATGTCCTTCCAGTCTGGTCCACCAACAGTGCTCATGCTGCTGCCTTGTATCATTTTATTACTGTTCATGCTCCTGCCTTGCATGCATTTTATTACTGACGTCTCAACTCCTCAGATAAAGAAATGATAGACTTCTTGAGAGCAAGAATTATGTCTGTTGCATATTCAGTATCTTTCAAGCCCTACAGCTATGCCCTCAGCAAACACTTGATATCTATGTAAATTATCCTGTCATATAAAATAGAGGCTGACAACCTATGGACAGCCAGCTTGAAGTCTGTAAACTTGGCATATAAAAGACTAAACCAACCTGGAATTGGACATAGCTTATAGACCAGAATCTTTTGGTCTTGATGCTACTTCTTTTTACCTTTATGTCTGCCTTTCACCCAAACTGTAAATTCAGTGCTGTTGTAAGATGCTAGTGCAGTGAATGGAAAGGCCAGCATCCTGACCTGTTCACTCCTCTCCACCTTACCCACCTCTCATGCCCTTCCCCCAACCTTACACCACTCTAGAGTTCTTTCTGGACTTCATTCAGTTCCCCAACTATGCCATGGTTTCTTATCTCTCTGTCCCTTGACACATTCTTTCTTTTCTAAGACACATCCTTTCCTCCAACTTCTTTGCCAAACTAATTCCTACTTCTGTTTCAAGACTCAGATTGCATATTCCTGGTAGCAGCTTTCTATGAACCTCTACAGTATATGGAGTCCCCCTTCAAAGGCCCCCCAAACTTGTTTTCTCTCTAATGATGTTTATGACAATAATTACAACTGTAGCAATCACTAACATTTATTAAGTCGTTGTCTGGGAACCTACTAACTCCTTACATCATCACCAATTCCTTCTGAGGTAGGTACCTGATTATCCCTATTTTACAGATGAGGAAATCAAGTGAGGGTAATCAAGATATTGATTATCTTGATAAAGGTCACATCACTCCTTAAGGGTCAGATTTCTCAAGCAGCCTAGTTCCAGAGTTCATATTCTTAACCAATACATCACACTGCCTCTTAAAAACCTCATCATGTTTGTAATTATTTATTTAATGACTAAATATTCCACCAGGCAGCAGCTCCATAAGAACATGCCTGGGTCTACCTTGTTCAGTAGTATATATTTATTTTTTTTAAGATTTTATTTATTTATTTGTCAGAGAGAGAGAGAGAGAGAGAGCACAAGCAGCAGGAGCAGCAGGCAGGAGAGGAAAAAGCAGGCTCCCCTCTGAGCAAGGAACCTGATATGGGGCTTGATCCCAGGACCCCAGGATCATGAGCTCAGCTGAAGGCAGACATTTAAGCGATTGACCTACCCAGGCAGCCCAAGTCCTGTATTTTAAAAGCCTAATCCAAGAGCTAGCATATAGAAAGCTCCAAACAGCCTGAGTTAAATGAATAAATGAAAACAACCAGTTTGTTAGCCCACACAGAAAGAAACCCAAAAGGGAAGTATTCACCCACTCTGGATGGACAATGTCTCATACTTAATTGAAAAAGTATCATGATCTTGATAATATTTATCCTAAAGGTAATATTCTATATTATATATCCTAAAGGCAATATATGTATGTGTGTGTGTGTGTGTGTGTGTGTGTGTATGTGTGTGTGTAATATCCCTAAGGGTAATATTATCCTAAAGTTTGCCCTTTCTGGGATCCAATCCTGGTAAAACAAATCCATGCATCCAGAACCAGAAAGGGTGTAATCTGGAAAGCAGGGAGCAGAAGGAAATGTTTCTGTAGAAGAGAGAAAGCAGGGGTATAGGTCTATGTAGGGGACACAGCTATCACACAGCACGCACCCCCAGGGACTCTGCATGCCACCCACAGGGGTCAGCTCACCCCTCTCACAGGTCCTTCCCCAGTGCCCGGTGCCTGTGCAGTCACAGATGAAGCGGTTCCAGCCGTCCTTGCACACAGCGTTGTTCTTGCAGGGGTAGCTGTCGCACTGCTTGGCGCTCATCCGTGAACAGGAGGACTTGACGCCTGCTGCGTTCTGCATCTCCGCCAGCTGCCGGATGTTCTTGCTGCGCCCGTCGATGAACAGGTCACGGATGCAGCCCACGTAGCCGTAGTTGAGCATGGCAGTCCAGAGCTCTGTGGGGAGGATGAGGCCAGCTCGGTTCTCAGGCAGCCCGCCCAGGTACATGTCCCCCTCCAGGTCCAGGATCTCACTCTCCCCGCTGGCGGTGAATGGCGTGCGCCTGCTGTTCACTGATATGGTACCTGGGAGGGAAGGATGGAAACAGAGTGAGCGCACAGCCCTCATCACAGGTGAGGCTGCCAGTTGATGAACCAAATGAGGTGAGTTCAGAGACTAGTGGTGCCTGGTCAGGTGAGAACAATGCAAGCAGGGGAGTCAAACGCTTCAAGACAGTAGAAAGGAAAATGTTAGGCCATCTGGTTCCAGTCCTTGCGGGTAAGACACTCTCACTGATAGGAGGATCCAGGACCATCTCAGTGAACCAACACCTAATGTGATATCTGTTCTCTACAGAGTCTCGGCTGGAAGGCCATGTACCAAACAGCTTGAGAGCAGCATAGGTGCTGCCTGTGTTTAATAAATCTCGGCTCTACCAGGTCCTAGCTATGTAGCCCTGAAGAACTGATTCCACCTGCCAGGGCCCCAGTATCCTCATCTGGAAATGGGAAGATAACTGTCCCCACCTCATGGACTGGTGAGATAATTAAATAACTTCACATATATAAAGTGCTCCTAGGGGTTTGGGACAGAGTAAGGGTTCTGCTTGCTTGGGTCTTCATCATTCACATCACACCCAAAAGAGTGGAACCCCCCCCCCCATGCACTAATACCCTCTATGCTGGCATTAGCTACCAGCCCTGCCAGTGAATATCTGGAGCATTGCCTTGGAAAATTTACAGAACATGTTTGTTTATTCATTTAACAAATATATACTGCACACCCATTGGATCTCTGGTATGCTTGTAGACAGAGATGAACTTGACAGGGACGCCTCTGCTCTTGTGGCACTGATACTCCAGAGCAGAGAGGCAGAAAACAAACAAATGACTCAATAAACAAGAGAAATTAAGTATTGGTAGGTACTAGGAAAAGAATAAAATGGGTGCTGTGGCAGCAGCCTGTGGGCTCTACTTTAGAATGTACTGTCCGTGAAGGCCTCTCCAGGTAGGTGACAGGTATGCTAAAACCACAATGTTGTAAAGGACCCAATCATGCCAAGTCAGGAGGAAGAATATGCCAGGTAGGGGGAATGGCACCTATAAAGGTCCTGGGGTAATGGGTGGCGGGCACTGACGGGGGGCACTTGACGGGATGAGCACTGGGTGTTATTCTGTATGTTGGCAAATTGAACACCAATAAAAAATAAATTTATTATTAAAAAAAAAGGTCCTGGGGTGAGCCAGAGTGTGGCTAGAGTGGGAAGGCAAGAGGGTCGGGCAGGAGACGGGATCAGAAAGGCAGACCAGGCTCAGCAGTAGTAGAGTCATGGACCCATCAATGAGACTGTGCAAACCTAGAGTCTGGCCTGGGAACTTGGGACTGGGATGCTAGTCTTAAATGGCCTTCTGACCCTAGGCCAACCCCTGAGCCACTTTACAGTCCATTTTGTTAAGCTATAAAATCAAGGAAACTGTAAAACCAAGGCGATATCTAAACATCATGCTAGAAATTTTAAAATTTATTTAGTATTCCTAAAGTGCTTTATTGGTACCAAGATACCTAGGTCTTGCCATCCATCAGGCAGCCTTCACTTCTGCCTAAGTCTCAATCCCCTGGGCTATGGAAGGGATGGCCTGAAGGGCCAAGAGGATCAAATAGGATCAAGAGTGTGAAGTACACTCTAAATTACAAAGCCAGCATTAGGGGCCTCTGGGCAGGTTATGCCAGCAACATGCTTCCCCTACTCTAGCCTTGAAGTTTTCCCCTAGAGAAACCAGCTTTGCATTTTGGGTTTTAAAATGTTAGAAACCTACATGACAATAATTATGTCCTGGTCACCATTTTAAGTACAGTATGTGCTTTTCTGGGCTTGATCCTCAGAACAGTCTTGGGAGGGAGGGAGGTAACAGGTGTGCTATTTCACAAACGAGGAAGCTGAGGTTTGTGTCTCCTTTTCTCTTGCACTGCTTGCTTTCTCTACCCTCCACAAGCCCACAGAGCTGCTTGATCCCCAACCTGGAGGAGCAGCTATTGCCACATAAGGATAACACCAGGGTGGATTTCAATGTTGGAGCCATAAATACATCTCGAGGGAAATCTGTCCTCAGAGTGTGTGATCACAACTGTTTTGAATGTACTTAGTCAAGTTTCAAGAATCAGTTCCCCAACTGGGGGAGTGATCACCATACTTCTCCCATGTCATTCTTCAGGATGAGGAGGGAAGGAGGCACCATATTTTCATATGCAGATGTTTATATAACTATCCATTTCTGGTACAGGTTCAGAACCAAAACACACCACAAAATACCCTCATGAAGCAATGAAGCTTAATGAATCATATTAAAATTTGTTATGCTGCTTTCATGGGACAATTATTTGTTTACTCAAGAAATTACAATAAGCTCTGATCAGATTTATCAGGATTGGCCAAAGCTATAGATCCCAAAGATGAAATTCAAGGCTTCTGAAATCCAGACATACCTGTCAAAGATGGGTCCGCTGGTGGTTCTAACAAACAATTGCCCCACTTGAAAAAGCAATAGGTGCTGAGAATAAACAGAAGTAAACATACAGCAATTCCATGAGCTCTAGGCTGCCTGGGACAGATAGGTGACCTTTAAGCTGCATCAGGTCTAGGTTAGCAGATCATGACACCCATCAACCATAATGGAACTCCAGAGACCCAAAACACATGGTCCTCACACCAACAGAAGTGTTCCCCTTATAATTTTAGGATAGCTTTCTGACTCTGCCCCTGCTGACATTATATGGGTAAATTTAGAAAGAGAAAGAAAAAAATTTGGCCTCCAGAGAATTTAGGGTTTTTTGTGTCTTTTTCTGTTAAAAAAGCAAAAACTGTTCATTCTTACTCAACAAGCACATTTAGTTTGAAGCCTCTTGGTTCTGATTAGATTTTAGACGATCAATAAAGCATCCTGCTGGGCACTAAACCATCCAGGGCTGCAATCTGCCACCCGTCTGCCCTCTCCACAGAACCCATCCAGCTCCTCCTAAAGGCAACATTGCTCATCTCCGTCATCCCTCTGGCTGTGGAATTATGCAGAAAAGTCATCCCCTGAAAACTGAGCCATTCCTGGCTGCAGTCTTTTGAGGGAACCTATTGCTTTCTATTATTGGCCAACTGTGCCTACACGAAAATGTCCAAGTGAAAGACTTTTTGTGTTTCCCAGGAAAGTGAATCCTTAAAAATACAGCAAATATAACCAAGACCCTTCTTCTTGAGTATAACACCACCTAAATGGAGAATCAGGAAATTGGTGTGAAATCCAAATACTCTAGTTATCACTCCAGGTGAAATGTCCTTCCTGATGGCACAGAATGTGACCTTCATTGCCACATGGTCCAGAGAAAGCTAGGCAGACTGTTCAGGCATTCAAAAGCTCCAGACTCTATTTGTGTGTGTAGTTTCTCTCTCTCTCTCTCTCTCTCTCTCTCTCTCTCTCTCTGTTACTATTCCACAGTAGCTATGTACTGCCTGGGGCTAGCTTGTTTGATCTGCGGCTGCAGAAACAAACAAAGCCATTTAAACCAAATGTAAAAGGTTATGAAGAGGAAGGGAGAGTTAGTGAGGTCTGAGCAAAGAGTGAAATATAGGCTCTCGCACCAAAGGAAGGCTTTAAATTGAACATGACTTCAGGAAAAATCAATTTGCCTTTTCCTTTCTTGTCATAATTTCTCCCTGCAACATGACTCTTGCCAATTATTGAAGGGTGTAGCATTGCATAAACTCTTACATAGTGAAGCTTATCCTACAGAGTAATCACACCATCTGTGATGTCACAATTGGGTTTCCACGGTGATGAGAAAAAAGAGAAGAGGAGAAGGAGGGAAAAAAATAATCACACCAGTGACATGACAGCCTCTCTGGTAGCAGTGGAAATTCTACTTGTAAAACCACGCTTGGTTCCAGGGGCTTGGAGCTGTTACTGAGATAGCTGCGTCGTGAGTCATGAGAGGAGGACCCCATAAACGATTGACAAGACAAATATCTTGTTCAGAAACATAATCTTACAACAACCATTAAAGAGAACAGCAAAGAGTCAAACATGCATGCAAGTGCCAACACTAAAATAAAAATATATATATAAAGCTGGGAAACAGACTGAAAGGCTGCAGCTTTCCTCTCTCTTCTCAGTCATAGCCGTGCCTCTTCCTACCTGATCTGCCATCTCGCTGAATGTCCACATGGTACCATTCCCCATCATTGGCTTTCTTCTGAGTGGCCTTCACTTTGATGGTGCCTGAGCCCATGTCAAGCAGTAAGTACAAGTTGCCATCGAGGAGTTCTACAGCAAAGAAATCCACCTTGGTGTTCTTCTGGCTCCGAGCATCCTTCCTCTCTTGGGGCTTGCCATGAGTGAATAGGATCAGGCCATTGGGTTCAGTGGTGCGGAAGTCAAAGGAGATGGAACCCATGCGTTTGGTGTTCCACTTGGGCAAACTGATATATGCCTCTGGGGTCTCGAAGTTGATGGGGTCCAGGGTGGCCACATTCTCACACTTGAATACAACTTCACCATAGATTTTCATCTTGGTATCCCCAATCCGGGCCAGGCGAGACAGCTCCAGACGGATGTCATTATTCTTATAAACAACCTGTCAAAAGCCAAACAAGTGCCATATGAATCAATCTTGAAAGCAGTTACCAGTCATTGCTCACTGGGCACCCGGGAAAAAGGCCCAAGCAGAAGCTTCAGGACACAATATATCTGAAACAATATGAGAAACGTGAGATACAGCATTTGAAACAGCATCTGAAGAGACCTCTGGGGTGCACATAAGCCCTGAATAAGTCCCACATTTCTATTTTATTCCTTTTATGTTGTCCCCTTCTAGCCAATTTTTTGTGTTGTCAGAGAGTTATACAATATCAGCTTGCAAGTAAAAATCAAGAGAGACTGAGTTGCACAAATACTAACATTTAAATACAAAGATATTTAATGAAGTGTTCTTAGGAAAAGACCAGAAACAACCTAAATGACCATCAATAACAGACCATCAATAACACATCCTTACGGCAGATAGTTACCCAGTCCTTAAAAACAAGGTAGTGCTCTGGTTTTGACATGGATGCTCTCCAAGAAATATTGTTAAGTGAAACTAGCAAGAAGCATTAAAGTATGCACTAAGCTATTGTTGTGTTCAGTATATGTGTATGTCTTTTTGGAGGGCATTTACATTATATGTATATATGCTCGTAAATGCACAAAACGTCTTCAGAAGGAAACATGGGAAACTATAAAACTGTCACCAGGGAGTGGATCTGTCAAATTAATATTCAAGAATGGGAGGAAGACTGACTTTTCATAGTACCCTGCTGTATTGTTTGATTTTTTTTCCTTGCTGTGCACATGTATCACTTAAAGAAAATGATGCAGTGTTGAGAGTAGTAGGGAAAGAGATCTATGTTTTTCACACATTGTGGGTGCCCTCTATATATATGGTGGGAGAATAAAACACTCAAAAAAAAACTATTATGACTTTCGAAACCTGGTGTAATAAACGTAAAAGCAGGGATTAATGATATTCCCCAAAATTAGAATTTCAAAGAGGTTTTACTGTTATTAGAACTGAATTTTGATTTCAGTGCCCTGGGATGGGTCTCCATCCTCTGATCTCTAAGTAACATCACATCTTTCCAATAAACAGGAAAAAAATGAAAGGGAAAGGGGCTAACATAATAGTATTCTATATGGCAATGATTTTGTTATGTGGTTTACATTATCTTATTCAAATCTAAATCAGTATCAGGATTTAGGCTCAAGTCCTACATCCACTACCTAGGAGCTGTGTGACCTTGACAGAGTTGTTTAACTTATCCGGATCTCTCTTCTCCTTTAAAAATGGGAACACAGGAGTAAATTACTTTGCAAGGATGAAATGAATTAAAACATGTCAACCACTGAGAATGGCGCAGAGTAAGGCAAAGAAATCTCAGCCACTTTGGGGAGAGGCATTGTAGCTGTTATGTTAGTCTCATTTCATCCTTCCTATGGCCCCCCAAAAGGGTCATATGATTATCTCCATTTTCAGCAAAATAACAAAACTTAAATACTAAAATAAGTCTTACAATCCATCTCAGTGATAAAAGGTAACTGGATGGATCATTCCAGTGCATATTATTTAATCCCTAATATCCAGCTATAGAATTTTTTCCCTTCTCTTCCCCATCACCAGGTGAGAATAGAGCAGAACTGTTGGCCTTTTAATAGATAACTAACGACAAAGAATTGAAAATGCCTCACCTACTATATGACCTTGATAATAGGCCTAACCACAGTCAGTAATGCCGAAAATAATGATACTAGTATTTACTGAGCACCTACTACCAGACACCATGCTAAAGATCTAAAGACCACCATCCCATTAGAACCTGACAACGTCCATTTGAGACACCTACCATCATTCCTTCCTTTTAAAAATGGAGAAACAAATGTGGAAAGTAGTTAAGGATCCAGTTCACAGTCACAACAACTGACAACTGGCAGAGCAGGCCTTGAACCCAAGGAGTTGGACTCTCATGTCCACGTGCTTTACCACTGTGGAAACTCTGAGGGAGGTCCTACTAAGCAGCATCTGTGAAGCTCATCTTTCACATTACATAGAAAATCATGCAAGTTCAGCTCCTGAATTTTTCATCTTAGCACTACTGGACTAATGGTGTGAAAGGGGAAGTACTGAAAGATACTTAGGGAATCAATCACTCCAGTGAACCAGAAAAGAAACAAAGTTTAATGACTGGCAACTTCTCTTTGCTAACCCCACACTTGTGCCCTGGCATGGGAGATCTCTTTGTCATAAACAAACTTTGACTTTCTCTGTATATGGTTAAATGCCTATGACTAGAACGGCTTATTAGGATTTTTTTAAGATGTATTTATTTATTCAGAGAGAGAGAGAGAGAGAGAGAGAGAGGCAGAGGGAGAAGCAGGCTCCATGAAGGAAGCCTGACGTGGGACTCGATCCCAGGTCTCCAGGATTACATACCCGGCTGCAGGCAGCACTAAACCACCACGCCACCGGGGCTGCCCTGTTTATTAGGATTAATCATTAATGTATAACAATAGCTCATCCCAGGGGAGCAAACTGAGGTTTGGTTCCAGTGAATAATAAATGGATAAAAAAACTCAGGCATCCTTACAGGAGGCAGAAGAGAAAAAAGAAAAAGCCATTTAAAGGGATGCAGGGTAGGGACCCTTAAGTGGCTTAGTCGGTTATGCATCTGACTCTTGAGCTTAGCTGAGGTCATGATCTTAGGGTCATGAGATAGAGGCTGGAGTCAGGCTCCACACTCAGCAGGGAGTCTACCTGAAATTCTCTCTCTGCCTCTGCCAGTGCTCAATCTCTGTCTCTCTCTCTCTCTCAAAATAAATACATAAAACCTTTAAAAAAAAAAAAAGAAAAACAAAGGGATACAAGGTACTGTGAAGAAAGGCTCTTCTGTGAGAAAGGTACACAGCTGAGACCGGGACCCAAGGTGAATAACTATGATGCAGATTCCTAGAGAGGCACATGGGAGAATCAGGGCCACAAGCTGGCCAAAGATAACCAGACTTCTCTCAACAGCTATTTGGAGGTGAGTTCTCTATCTACTCCATGGCCTGGAAATGAAATGAGGCCAGAGACCCTGCCAGGCCCCCTTACAAGGCAAGTTAGTATCTATTACAGTGTTCTCTGTAAAGCCAAACTTTCGGCTAAAGGAAAGTCCCCAACTGATGACTGAACTTGGAAGAGATGTGGCATCAAGTGACAGAGAGAAGCCTTGGCTGACAAGCTGCCCCAACAAGGACCAATTAAAGACAAATGGAAGTAGTCCCCCATGAGGGAACATGTCACACAGATAGAGAGGCAGAGACAGAGTCACAAAGAATGATGAGCTGGCCTGACTATCCCACACACAGCCTTGTAAAGACTGCCATTCGGACTAGTAGCTCACGCCTAGGGGGCCAGAGAATAAAACCATTGAGGACACAGTCTCAGAGTTAAGACAGACTCTCTCAGAAAAACTGTACTTCTACACCTCCATAATCCCTGATACAGAAGCACACAGAAGCCATATCAGAAATAAAGCAAGATATGAGAACAGGAACAATACAACAAAAAATAGTTTCTGTCTATTGAGCATCTACTATATGTCAGAAAGTACGCCAAGTGAAATTGGGAACACTAGCCACATTTTACAGAAATGGGATAGGTACTTGCCCAAGATCATACAGCTCATTCAGGTCATAACTGGAACTTGAATTCAGATCTCTCTGACTGCACTGGGGCAGGGCCATGCTCTAGTGATGTCAGTTTCTAGGCTCTCCTGTGGCCCATGCTTACACATAAAGCAAGAACCCCTTAGTCAAACATAAAACCACACCCAGCCCCATCCTGACATGCAAAGCCCTTCATGCTTGGAATGTCCCATTCTTCCCCACTCAGGAGTCACCTCAGAGGTTTCTGTCTGAGCTCAAGTGTGGGGGCGTCTGCATCTTTACTCACCACATTTCCCAGACTACCATGCTTTATTTTCTTCTCCTGGTGCTCCTTTACCGGGACCTACATACAAACCTACTCCAGACGCTCTCTGACTACTCTGGTTCTTGCTGATCCTGCCATTTAATAAACTTAGAATGCGTATACTGTCTGCCAGTGATGCGGCTATCTTCCTATTGCCCTAATTGGAAAGGAATGACTTTTCTAATTTACGTGATGTGCCTTAAACATTAAACTGATCCATGGCCCTGGAATTATATGGCAAGTCCATGAGAATAAATCTAAGGGGTAGAAATAGTCCCAGAACAGAGAGGTGCTTTTCTCTCTCTTCCATCTTTTCCTAGGCCACTCTGTTCTCAGGTCCCTGAGAACATGTTTCCATGCATTCTGCCATAAATGCCAAGTCCCTCTGCACTTCAGCTAGAAGGAACAAGGGAATGTGGACTTGTGCCCTGCGTGCCCAGATGGCCTCTTTGTACTATTTCTCCTGTGCAGGAATAGGAGAATACCTCCTGGCTTTTTTTATCTGGTTTTTAAAACATGTTTAACCCTCTGTGGGCCTACATAAAAGACAATTTCAATAAAAACCAGCAGGTCAGCTTCTAAGACCATCATTTATAGGTCCATGACTTGATGCATGAACACTGTTGCTCTTATGCAGCTCAGCAGAGGACATCTGAAATTCAGGATGCTGGGGGACACTCTCTGAAGTGTCTAGGCTAAACAAAATAGAATGGCAAGAAGCCAGTGTCAGGGTGCCTTGATATGGAACAGTGTTGACTAGAACACCCAATAAAGCCTTTCAGCTTTATACCTATGTGTGAAGCAGTTTACATACTACAAGCAAAAGACAAAGGTATATTTATCCACAACCCAAATTTAATCCATTGACAATAGAAAATAATAAAATGAGCTTTTTCTCTTCAGCTTCCAGGATAGTGCAGCTTCTAGATAAATGTTCAGGGTAATCTTATTATTGTGTAACATTCCTACTCAGGGTAAAAACATAAACAAGAAGCACTTTGAAAGAATCTTGTTTCCAGAGTTGCCACAGAATCACACATCCTGCTTTCTCTACCCCACTTCCCCTCTGTCTTTTGGGCAACTAGTATCTC